GATATGAGTCAGATGGGTCAAAAAAATCGGATTTGGGTCGGATTTGCCTGCAGTGTGAACGTAGCCTCTGACACCTGTGTGTTTCAGAGTTCCTGATTGGTGCTGATTGCAACTGGAGGCAGCTGGCCAGTGTCTAGAAGAGCTTGAGATCCAGTTGAGGAGCAGTTGCTGGCTCTCAGGGAGAGCCTTCTCCTTTTGTTGCTCTTTTTTCTCCAGACAGACATGATTTTTGTTAAATAAATTTAATTTTAAGTTTTCCTATGCATTGCTTCCCTTTATTTCTTATGACCCCAGAGCCAGGCCATAACGACATGTAACAAAAAGCTGGAACGGCCAGGTTTACCACTGTGAAGGAACAGAGGAAACCATTTTGGGAGCTTTTTGAGGGGAATGTTGACATATTCTTGTCTGATGTAAGATTCTAGATGTTCATCAGTTCTGGTTCTTTTTAACCTTTTTTTTTGTTTCATGTGTCAAATGTTTTCATCTGGTGAGAGACCTGAAAACCAGGCAGGTCAGTTCAGCACCCACACTCTTTTACTATGAAACCAAGCAGTAAAATTGTCCATCTAACCATGTTTTTCAATCTGATATCCAACCAAAACGTTTTTTTTTTCCTGGTATGTTAACCAAGAGCAGAGTGTGTTAGATTATTAATGAAGTTAGCCTGGAATTTTTTTCTTATTTTAAGAAGTGCAATAGTCCTTTTCCAGTGGCAGATTATTTCACTTCATTTGCAAAATGTGAGAAGATTCAGACTCAAATGAGATGAAACAATCTGCCAATGGAATAAGAAAATTGCACTTTGTAAGATTTCTTGAAATAAGGAAATTTTCTAGGCTAACTGTTCCTTCACGCTATATATATATTTTAAATTGTACATATATTTTTATTTAACATTTAGTGTTTGTGATGCTTCATTGTCAATAAATTATTAGCAAATATTTGCCTTATTTTCATTTTACACTGCATTCCAACTTATTTAGAAGTGGGGTTGTAACAATGAGTTTTGGTACCTTCTGGCTTTTTTAATAGCTTGTTTTCTTCCTTTTTTACTTGAATTGATCTTTTTCTAAGATAACAGATGTTTAATCATGTTGACAGTTGCGTTTTTGTTGCCATTTAAGACTTGCTGTAAACCTGTCTCACCACTACTTGGTCTCACTCTGTAAACACGACCTCATCTGTGCTTTCATAACTAAATAGCTGTGCTACTGTTCCACTTAAACCTGGTTTCTTTTATGCTAAGCTATATATTTTTGTAAATATGATAAACTTTATTTAAAACTTTTCATCAGCAACAGCGACAAAGTGTAATTTTGTTATTACTATAGGTTATGTTCTATAGGCAAGTTCTTACATTTCTGTCACAAATGCATTTTTTTAATTTAGCAGTTAAATTAGAAGCTTAGTTAGGAATTGACTGGGTAGTGCTGAAAGAGGAGAAATAACGCTTTTGAAAACCCTGTGAATCAATGTTTCTTCCATTGATAAATACTGTAAGGTTTTCTTTACAAGTAACTAAGATTCACTTTTCTGTCACAGTAAACAATAGTGATTTGCCTTTGTATTAAAATATTGGGGGTCCAATCATTTCTGTATGGTCATCTGTATACTAGAAATAACCTTTTTGTTACAGCCTAAGTTTACATATTCTTATATAAAAAGTGTGTTCAGCTTAATACTTTTAAAACTGGATGAAGGACACTACTGCCTTTGAATATCTGTCCATTATTACTGCTAATGTTTTTATTTCAAATTTATCATTTTAGAATATTGAATTTACAGGAAAAATTGACAGAAATGAACTTGCCTCTGCAAATATACGTGTCCTAGAGGGTCCTTGTCAAATTAAGTTAGTTTTAGGTAGCTGTTGTAGCATTTATTTAATTTAATTTGCAGTCAAGGTCTTTGTGACACTCCTCAATAATTGTCATCATCTGAGTGAAAGGAACAATTAGGTCCTAAAGTCAAACATGTGTCCCTTACCTTAATTCTTCTAACTCTTGTGGATAATTGTGGAATTCTGTTACTATTATAAGAGGCAGACAATTTCTGAAAAACAGAAATGGATTTTCTATATATGCTCATTCATCTCGGTGCACTTCACACCTCTTTCTTTAAATTGGCCTTCTTGTGCACACAGCACATGGCTGCCCAGCTCCTGTTAGCCCCTTTTGAATATGTCAGCGAGATTTTCAGGTCATTTGCCAGAGAGGATGCTGGGAACGTTGCGTCCGGGCTCTGAAGGTGACTTGTGTCTGTGCCATCCATCACAGGAGCTTCCTTTAAGTTGATGCATAATAGAGCCTCTCAATCAACTTCCACCCTTATTGTCACCTCCCTCCTTCCTGTCCAGGGTGGAGACTGAACCAAACCCCCCCAAAATACAAACAAGGCAGACTGACAAAGGAGTCAAGGTTACATTGCTCTTCTTCCTTTATTTACACTTGAGGTGTTATGGGATTGCTGTGCGTAACATAGGACAACAGCAGAAAGGGCGAAGGTGCTTGTGTGGGCACTTGTGTCAGCCTTTAACTGTCTACTGTGTCAAATTGGTGATAATAAGCAGTGTGAAGGCCTGTCCTGTCCATGTCATCTGCTTAGGACGAGGCAACAGACAGGACCTTGAAGCTGGATGTCTCTGTCAGAGAGGTAAATCTCTGTTGTGATGGGGTGGCAAACATTACGGCATGCTTTATTGACACAGACTGCTCTGACACATTCTAAAGTGCCCCGATAAATTTGCAGCCTGCCGGTAGCGTGACGGGCGCATGTGAGGGCACTGCAGTGTTACGGCACAGCGGCAAATGTTTTTATGACCTCCGTTAGAGGTGTTTGGATAGTCCGGCCCCAGCTGGGACTTCTTTCCAAGGGGGATTGGATTGTAGTGTTGTCTATACTGTATTTCAGTAGTCCTTTCAAAACCACCTTTTAAGCTTTTGTAAACTTTGTAGTCCTGCATTATCTAAGACAAGTCACAAATACAGTACTAATTGTGCAATGGTGGTTAATCCTAAATCAGAATCAGCTTTATTGTCATTCAAACATAACATCAGGGATGCAATATAGAATGAAATTGCAGTTAAGAACACCCGTTCAAGAGAAAGACACACAAAGCAAACATGGGGGAACGGATGAACGGGTCTTGTGCAACAGGGTCGCACTACCTTTTTTTAGCTTGGAAAAACACAATAGGAGAGATGAGTTAAAAAAAGTTGCTCTGATCCTATGTTTACTCATAAACACATCACATGCACACACAAAAAAAACCACTCACTACAGAGCAGACAGCTGGGGATTGGGGTCAAACACATGAGATCGGGTCAGGATTCAGTGGAGCCGGTGACGTTTTAGGTTAATTCTCCGAGCTGGAACCGATCCTAGACCAGCCAGAGTCCCGAGACCAGATCTTATCGTCTCATGCTCAGTTCAATATAGTTCAGAGTTTCCCCTTCCCCCTCACGCCTTCAGACTGGTCCCACACGGGTGATATGGGGGAGAGGGAAGGGAATCAAGCCCTTGTTGACGTATCCTTCTGGGAAGTTTAGATAAAGGTGCCAACCGAGGCCAGCAGCTGGGATCCGAAAAGATAAGCACAATTGTTTTGGGACAAGCGGCCTTGAATTTTCTTGCTGCTTTCAGTCTTACTGCATCTCTGAAAATGGCAAAAAAAATTCCAAATTACTGGTCTTCCTAGTCTCTCACCGTCTGAAGCTTCACCCAGGTGTAATCCTACACTCCAGAGGCACGCTGCTGAGCTGCGATTCTCGTCAGGATCACATCAAGTTTGCGACTAATCTCCCCCTGCATCCGAGTCTGTGCTCACTCAGAACAGCAGATTCCATCCATTGTGTCTGACAGCTTTTCACAGGCCTGGACTGCTGCCAGGATCGCATTCATTTTCTGATAAATCAGAAATCCGCCTTCGCTGATCAGCAGAAGTCCAGCTATCATAAACCCAAATATATACAAATCTTCCATGTCTTCAATGGAAAGCGGCACCAGACAGATCAGATTCCAAGCCCCCCAGGAACCGCTGACCCGACCAGTAGCAACCATTCTACTGGGACAGCTACGTTCCCCTATTATCAGTTTTCTATACCATTGATATTTTTTATTAACTAAATATCCATATTTCATTCACTATTTTTTTAAGTTCTTGTGACTATTTCAATTTTTTTCTTGTTTAGGCTTTGTTTTAAATCAACTTCATTCCTACTAATGTTACATTCAAAGCTTTCAGTTGTTAATTATTTGTCTGTGGAGAAAAACGTGGATAATTTTGATTAAGTCTAAAGAAAGGCTTGAAGTTGACTTTATGAGGTTGTTTTTTGTGTTGCATAAATACAACAGAGCAATGTCTGATGTTTTTGCACTATATGTGATAATTTCCACATTTGAGAACAGATTGCATTTGGTTTATCGTGTCACCTTGTGTAGGTGGAGTCTTTTCCTAATGAGAGCAAACAGTTGCCAGAATTAAGAGAAAATCTCAACACCACCAAGCATGAACAGTGTTCATCTACATAACAAGATGATAATTTTTAAGATAAAAAGTAGAACGCTGCCTTCGTTCTTTTCAGCATCTCTCAAAGGTAATGCAATTTCCTGCCTCTGAAAAGGTAAAAGCTCCATTAAACAGCAAGCGAGTAGCAGGTTTGGCCCATGCATCCACTTGTGTTTCTATTCATTAGAGCTTGTTTTCATTTTGCCTGCTTTGCCTGAACATCCAGCCCATTTCCATCTAACTCAGCTGATTGAAGACATTTTGTAAAAGCACTCCTCTACACCCTGCGGAGTTTAATGAAGGGAGTATTGGGGTGGCTTCCACTTCACAAGCAAGTGGTATATTCTGGCTGCTCATTGGATTAATTCAATTGTAAGAAGATGTGCAGACTGGAGATTCTGTTTGTTATCTTGGCTTTTGTGTCAATGCATTTTCAATACATTATGCATAAGTCTCAGGATGTGTTGATGTAAAAAGCTAAAGGCAAGTTCTGTATGTGCTCTTTCTTTTCACCAAAGCTGCTGGAAAAAAACATTACTGTGATGATTAATTAAAACACCTTTTTTGATGGTTTCCTCAAAGCTACTACACTAAGCCACACTCATAACTAGAAAGATTTACATTTCTGAAAGACACAAAAGCATGCACAATGAGACTAAAAAAGATGCATAAGGACACACAACAAAGGAGACATAGAAAGTAGGGGTGCAACGATTAAGAAAATTCCTGGTTCGCTACTTTAGTGTCATGGTTCAATATTTTTTGATACAAAAAAAAGAAGAAATTTCTATGCCCTTGTACTTTATTGAAGTTAATTATGAACATCTGTTTAACCTCAAAAGTAGTTTTTAAATAAAATGTTGCTGAAACGACAACAGGTGTGAGCTGTAGCTACTACATGGAGTAAACGTAGATCCTCTGAGCCTTCAACTGGCATCTTCAGAAGACAAGTTGATAAAACAAATTATAAAAACCCGAATTGTTCGATACAAGTGCTTATCGAACATAGAGCACTATTGAATGATTCGATACAGATTCATGTATTGTTGCACCACTAACAGAAAGACAAAAACATTTTACATAAAGGATTCATAAAGGGGAACAATTTAAGTATGTTGAAAGATTTTAAAGACCAGAAGATTTTGAAGCATCTGGAGAGATCTCAGTGCATTTTAAAAAGGAAAAATGTGAATAAAGTTAAATATTTTCCATATAAAAGTTAAGAAAACACAAATTATAAATATATTCAAAACAAATTTTATGCCTGAATGACAGAAATAGCTGCAATTATGCTGAAGTGTGACAACCTAAAAAATTTACAGAGAAAAATACAAACAGGCAGGAAATCAATATTACAAATACTAACATACATCCACAAAATTATCCTGGCTTATCCTTGCATTTCATGTGGTTTTTTTTTAGATTACCACTTCATCTTTTGGCCCTGAGAAAACCCACGAGCTGCTTCATCACATGACAGGAAAAGGACTGTCAGCCAAGTACCATTTCCCCAGGCAGCCGTGTTTATACCAGCCTCAAATGGTTGCAGTGCAGCTCATACTGACCAACACCTTGGACCACAGCTTGGAAGAGATCCACGTAGGAGACCGAAGCCCAGCCAGCCTCAGCATCCACTGCTTTAACACGATTGGTGAGTTCCTCATATCTAATAACATCACTGTCTGTCAGCCACCGAAAAAACTGGTAATTACCCTAAAATTTTCACATTTGTTTACTTTATACAGTATATTATTTTTAAAAAGTCTTGAGTAAGCTGGCACACGCATTAAAAAAATAAGCAGGAATCAGGAAATATTCAAATTAGTATGAGATCATGATGGTTTAATAACTTTGAGGGAAGCACTATTCTAGGGTTGCCAACTCCCTTCAAAATACGGGACAGATTCGCTGCCAGCAGGGCTTAATGACGTAATGCATCAATTAATACGTCATCACACAATATTTTTAATTCCTCAATATTTGAGTTACGTTTGCCTAAACACAATTTATTCTTGTTTGTTTTTTCCATGTAACATGATGTATTAAAAAGAATCAACGCCTTTTTATTTTTCTTCTTGAGAACTTTTCAACCGCTGATGGCCTCAGTAAACAGAAGTATAAAGAAATGTAAATATAAACATATGTTGTTGTGATTGTTAAACTTTTCTAAGAATTTACCACCTCAGAAGATAACTGTTCAAGAACATTTTTTAATGAAGATCAGGACTATACTACATTTATATAAACACTACATGATTTTATACACCTTATGTTTCATATTTCTTATTTCATCCATGTTTTCAATGGTTTGGTCAATTGTGCCAATAAATAGTTGGATTATATATTTGTGTCAGCTTTTAGATATGCAATATTAATTTTAAATATATGCTCACCAACCCACTAAACCAACAATTGCCTATAGGCTATTTTTAAATGCTACGGAAGAAAATTTTGTAAATGATTAATTGAAAGTTAGATCCAGTATTGTATTTTTACACTTTCTGATCATTGCAGCCAAAACAGAGAATGAGAGTGTGCGTGTCTTATCAATGTGTTCTGGCTGTTGTATAAACAAAGTTGGTTATGTTAACGTCTGACCTAAAAGGTAACATCTCCAGGGATGTAACCAGGAAGAGAAATACGTCATAAGGTCAATTCATCATTATACTGTATGTGTGGAAGAAGTTTTGAGAAGTTTTGAGTTGTGCGGAGAGTCTCTACTGGGCTGCTTTGTTTGGGTTTTCAGATATGCCCCAAGGCCTTACGCTGAGGCCTGACTGCTGCGCTGGGTACTGCTGTATGGAGCTGATTGGAGTCAGATGAGAATAAAGATTTTTAAAGATATCCAAGTGGGTTCCTGGCTGCTATTATTCAGACTCACTACCCAAATCAAATCTTTTTCCAGGTCTTTTCAGTATGTGGTACTAAAACAGATACAAGCAGGTCAATCAATATAATAATGGCACTAACCTTGAGCCATGCAATTTAATGCCACACACCTTCAGCTACAGAACAAAAGGACAGTTGCTACATCTTTGTTCTTTTAATTTTCCATGCCCTGGATGACTGTGCCCCCACAGAAATATTTGAGAATAACATTTGCTTCTCTTTTTGTTTTGATTTGTAATTTTTTTAAGTGTGCGTATAATTGTGGGAGGCCAGTTTGTCCAAAACCTCCTTGGATATCTATTTCAGATCGCTCCATTCAGCTCAAGCTATATTGGTCCGTCTCCTGCACCTCTCTCCACGTCAAAATCGTAGGCATGCAATACTCACTTTTACCCAATTGGAACCACCTCAGAGCTGGTTCTAAAAGGGCAGTAGGAACCAGAAATGTAGACACATTTGGTCGAGGCTAAACCAAGGAGAACCGCATACAGACACACCCATGGAGAAGGGGCTTAATATTCTGCTGGGGGACATCACTGCCCACTTTGGTTGACCCTGTAACCTGAAGGAATGTGATTGGAAGCAACTGCCTCTTTGTTCTGTACTTACTGGACTTCTGTGCTAGTCACAGTTTTTCCAAAGAAAACTATTAACTTTACTTAGAGTTGAATTTTTACCTCCGCCAAGGGCGAGGTAATGTTTTCGGTCGCGTCTGTCTGTCTGTCTGTCGTTCTGTCTCTGGACAACGTTACTCAAAAACTTGTGAACAGATTATCATGAGATTTTTACCACATGTGGGTACTGGGCCAAGGAACACACCTTTAAATTTTGGTGATGTTCCGGATCATGATGTGGATACAGGAATTTTTTTATTCTTTAACACTCTGAGATCGGCAAAGCTGTGATGCTTTCACAGGGCTTCTGTAAAAAACAGTGAGCTGGATTGGACAGCACGGACTTCAAACTTTATAAAAGTAATGTTAAAACCACACTTAATGATGAATAATTTTTACCATAATATGCATATTTACAGAAYGTTTTGTGACCAGGAAGTGCGTGACTGCACCATGAAACCTATTTTTCCCATTTCCTCAAACACACCACATTTCCGAAACAACCAATGAAAACAGTTTGTCTCTACTAGGCTTGTAAACAGAGAGCTGCCGGCCTCAAAGTTTGGAGACGGGGGGAGCCAGGAAGCACTTTATAAAGAGAGTCAAACCATTACAAACTCATACAAGGAGATAAAACAGACGTTTTACATGGTGAAATGTGACAGATGGAAACTTAGGAGCTTAATCCCACACCAGTTTGACCATCAATAACGTCAGGTGACCAGTCTGACTTTGTTTTTTTCACATTGGACTCCACCAGAAGAAATCCTGTTCATACTGCTGCTTAAATGTTCGCTACGTCAGAACTTATTCAGAAAATGTGTTTCCATCTCTGCGTTTGTGCATTAACTCTTACAGGATGGGGTAAATTGGTCTTGGTGGAGGTTTGCACTCTCTGAGAGCTTCTAGTTTATATATTTTTTATTTTATTTCTTATTTCAGTTTTGAAAACAACGTATATAGCCTTCAATCCAGTTTTGAAAACTGTGCATACAAGAAAAAGGGAGGGAATTTGATAAATTTGCTAAGAAAAACACAATCAAAGTTTGCTAGCTGAAACACTGCAGCTGGTCTCAGTAATTAGACTAGGGTTTGGCTGGTGAAACTGAACTCAGAGGCATCCTCCTGAACTCAAACTGTGGTTAATCAAAGTTAGTCCGTTAAATCAGAAAAAACAACAGTTACTTTTTGACATAGGGTCAGATTGTTGGAGTAGCTCTTTTCCCCTAATAAATGAAATCATACTTAGAAAACTACATTTTGTTTTTTCTTATATTTGCCTGCCATTAAAATGTGTTTACAGATCTGATAGTGTGACGACAAAAAGCAAAAACAGAAGAAATCTGTAAGGGGTCAAAAACCTTTCCAAAGCACTGGATTTTTGATCATAGAAAATACAAATGTAAGTGGGGGGGGGGAAAAATAAACATCTTATTTTCTATTCATTAAACCTTTGTGTACATTTAAAATGACCTTTCTCAAACTATTAATTGTTCCAAATTTTTATTTAGATAAGTACTTTTTTTTTCATGTAATTAATTTCACTCCTGGTCTTTCAAAGTGTCTTTTTGAGATTTCTCCCATATAATGCTGTTTTCCCAAACAGATATTAAATAATCATCAGGTTATCGAAAAAAATCTAATCCTGTTTACTATCAGTTCAGCAAATTGGCCCGTCCATCCCCCTAACTTGAAAACAGCCAATCTTACTTTGTCTAATCCCTGTTCATTAATATCGATCAGGACAAACATACAAACACTATCAGCATATTTCTTCACACTGTGTGCCTACGCTGCTCTCACTGTGAAACCAGTCAAAGTGTGTCCTGCATGTGTGCGCAAACACACTCGGACAGAAAATGTGCGATGAAGCATGTTAAAACTGTCGATTGCAGGGGATTGATTGGGCATTGAAGGAACTCATGCAGGCAAACAGTGGGTAATTTGGATCGATTGAGCCTGGTTACTGCGAGCAGGCGGCTGGATTTAGTTTGGATGAGTTACGGGGGATGAATACAGACCAAGTAGGGCCGTTTTATGTGTGGTAGGTGAAAGATGGTACTTAACAGAGTTTGCTTTTACTAAGTAATATTGCTCTTTCACCACAAAATATATTATTTTTACTGCTGCCTTTTAATGTACCATATTTGTGTTTGCATACTGGGATGTTGGATTTAAGGGCCTGTACACTCAATCCAAAGAAAATTTTGCTCTCATTGACGTTGCATGACAAAAATCACGTTTTTTTCTCAGAGTAGCTTCGCCCACTCCTTCTTGACATGAGGGCCCTGCCAGACTTCTTCTCACAGAAGTGCAAATTATTGTCCACAAAGAAACATTTTGTGAATATCCAAAACTTGTTTTATTGTGTCGGTGTTGCATCTACATACAAACAGCATTTTAGGAGCCCACAAACTGTATTTTTTGAAAACGAGCTCTTGAAGGAAAAAATCTTGAAACATTGTCATTGCATTATTATTATTATTATTATTATTATTATTATTATTATTATTGTGTGGATAGCCAAAAGGCAACGTTTTGAAAACGATGTCACTAACCGTGTTTCCATCAAGGCTTCTTGATGCGCATTTAGAAGTGTTGCATTAAAAATGCGAAAAAAAAGTCAGATGGAAACAGCAAAATTCAAAAAAAAAAATCCTCAATTCGCTAAAAAGTTTTTACGCTCGCTTGAGGTGGTTTTTGGATGATTTGCAAAGTAGTTAATGTGCAAAACAGGAGATGGAAACACGTTGTCAGAATAAATTCTGATGTAGCGCATATTTACCTCGTGACGTTCAGCTGTTTCCGCTTTCCTGCCTCGTCCCGGATGTTATCATAAACTCGCGAAAAAACATTGCATTTATTTCCCTACGTCTCCTGGCAGCGTTAAACATAGCCTGTACTAGCTGAATAGATAGAATAATTACAACTTGCCCAATAGCAAGGCATTCACAAAAAAATTGCTCCATTGTCCCGAGATATTTAGCCTCTGCTAGTTAGCAAGTTTCACTTCCTGTTTAATACCGCAAAGCTTGTCGCTGACGTCTGACATAATCACGCGTTGCGTAGCTTCGTCTGATGTAATCACACGTTGCGTAGCCTCGTCTGATGTAATCATGCGTTGCGTAGCCTCGTCT